GGGAAAATGTAGGGCTGCTAAAGAACAGGTAGTAAGATAATAGGCGGAGCACAAGAAAGAAAAAAAGAAAATGGAATTTATAAATACTACTGTTAACTACAGAACTGAACATGTTTCATAGATTTTATAGACATTAGGGCTGGAAGGGACCTCGAAAGATCATTGAGTCCAGCCTCCCGCCCGAAGTCTACAGTTATAGACTGCAAAGCTACTTCAGAAAGAACAAATTACATACCTATGAGTAAATAATATACCTCATATTTGGATAAAAAAGGCATTTTATCCTTTAAAAAAAATTCTTTATGGGTACGTGACTTGCGGGACTTTGAAAATTTTGATTTTTCTATGTCAGAACAGAGCTGGCCTCAGCTTCACAACAATGGGTAAATGACAGATTTCATCATAACTATTTTTAGATGTTATGATGAAACAGAAAGGAGTGGGCTGTGGAAGGAAGAAAAAGGGAATCTTTTTCTATTTCTCTATCTGCAAAAATCCTCCTTTCTATTTTTCCCCACACAGCACTTCTCTACAATGACCAAAAAAACCCCAGTAATCACCCTATCTAGGGACAAAGAATACCTTTTGAGATTGAGCTTCTATCATGTACTCTAACTCACATACACATGGCAGTTTAAGAAGTTAATTTTCGTAAATTAATACTCTCCCCCAGGGCACGTCATCACTGTTGCTGATCCATCACGTTTGAGGATGATCATTCCCACGGGTCAAGTAAATGGTTGGAGATGAGTCCAGTGATGGCCATTCGTATATTTCAGGATGCAAAGAACATTTTTGTGTTTCGACCCCAATTCCAGGGATCCCCCTAGAAGCTGCTATCCAGTCAGGAAAGGTAAAGTGGGATGTGTTTAGGGCACCTTTTCTAGCCCCTCCACACACGTGATGAGCAGAGAGGACTGCTCAGTCACAACTGCAGCTGCCAAATCACCCTCCTATCCCATACACTAAGGGTGAAACAACCATCTTACGACCACAGCCTGTGTATGGATCAATGACTAGGGACTCACTGAAATTACTTTGTCTATCCCTGTCACCACTCGTCCATCACTGCATGACTTTGTAGACTTTGGGTACTGGAATTGCTTTTGTAGTAGATGTTGGATCAGCAGGGGAAGCCTGTGCTTGTTTTATGTGAGGAGGCCGTTATGCATTGGCAGCTGCATGAATCTTGGCGGAGGAGAAACCCATGTCCACTGGCAAGGAGATCAACTGGGGTTACTCTTCCACTGCAGCCTTCATCCACTTTTGCATCCTTTGAGAAGTATGCCTTCAGCATCTGCCTGCACCACCATTGAGGCCTTTGTGTTTTGTCAGATTATTCTTCATCTGATACTCTGCCTTTGACCTTACCACCATGGGTGACCCTACCAGGAATACAAGATTCCCAACACTGTTGCTTTTAGCGTCATTGGCACATGCAAGCCTCTCCACCTCATCAAGGTGGCAGTCCACGGAGAGGAACGTAGGGCATGTAAATACCAGTAGTTAGGCACAGGCTTGCATATGCATGCAACCAAAGACCCACTACATAACAAGCTATGAATCTCGAAGCTCATAATGTTGCAGCACTTCTAATTAAAACTGGAAGCTCTCCTAAAGTTCATGGTCTTAAGTCAGGGGCAGGCAATTATTTCAGACAGAGGGCCGCTTGATAGGTTTTGATGAGCTGTCAAGGGCCATGTGCGTAGCCCCGCCCTTTCAGCTGCCCCACCCCCTGGTTGCCATCTTGGGACCAGAAGTCCTGCCCCCTGACCCCTGACCTTTACCGCCAGAAGTCCCTCCCCTTGCACAACTTACCAGGTAGCAAGGGGTTGTGACCCCTCTAACATCCTGCCCCAGCAGTGAGGTTTCAGGGGCATCAGACCTCCCCAGAACTTTCCCCCTACCTGTGCCAGCTGGTCCCAAAAGGAGGCAGCTCCGCTGCTGCTTCTGCTGGCCAGTGCCAACCCAGTCGGGCTCGCCCCATTCCCAGCAGCACCTGGGAAGCTGGCTTCAGCCACACGCTGCTCCGGATGGGACGGACCCGGCTGGCTCTGCACCATCCAGGAAAAGTGGCACACAGCCGAAGTCAGCTCCTCATGTGCTGCTGGGGAGGAGGAGCCTGGCCAGGTCTGAAGCGGCCAGCAGAAGCGGCAGTGGAGCCGTGTGCCTCTCGGGATGGGATGAGCCCGGCCAGAGCAGCAAGGACTCAGCTGCACTTTCCCCCTGCCTGTGCCGGTCAGTCCCGAGCAGCACACTGCTCCGCCACCACCTCTGCTGGCCAGTGCTGACCCAGCCAGGCTCCTCCCATCCCCAACAGCATGTGGGAAGCCAGTTTCAGCCACATGCTGCTCTGGATAGGATGGGCTCGGCCAGGTCTGCACTGGCCAGCAGAAGCAGCGGCAGAGACGTGTGCTACTCAGGACTGACTGGTGCAGGCAGGGGGAAGTGCAGCTGAGCCCCTGCCACTTCATCTGTGCTCATCCTGTCCCAAGCGGTACACGGCTCTGCCGCCAACTCTCCTCCCTGGTGCTGACTGGGCCGGAGCTGTGGCCCAGCTGCTGTTTCCCCTCCCCAGTGCTGGCCCAGCCTGACCCTGCATGGCCTGAGCTGCATGGCATGGGGAAAGCCTGCCTAGCAGCTGTTTTTCTGGGCTTACCTGCAGGGCAGAGCCCTGTCCAGTCCTGTGTAGCAAGGCAGAACCCAGGCCAGACACTGCTTCCCCTCACTGGTGCCACAGGTTCTGGCTCAGCCCCCCCGCCCCTTTCAAGCTGCAAACGTGGCCTGAACCCGGGCAGGGCGAGGCCAGCTGGGGCAGGCTGAGGTCAGGGTTGGTTGCGTTGCAACCAGAACCCAAGGAAACAGCCTGAGGTGCTGCAGCCGGTGGCTGGTGCCGCTGGAGGCTTTTAGAGAGGCAGCCGCCATTACATCGGCCAGAGGGAAGTGCTTGGCAGGCCAGATCCAGCCTGTGGGCCGTATTTTGCCCACCCCTGTCTTAAGTAGTCTGTCACTGCTTCTTTCAGTCCCTCAGTACGCTCTGACTGCACTGGCAAAAATGTTACAATCTCTCTTCCAGGCCTTCTGCACTTCTACACTCTCTCTCTTGCCCAGACACCAACTTACCTGTTGTTCCCTGTTTAACCCATCACTTTCTTTAAGATCTACCCAAGGGTTTTTGTGGTAGACATTAGCAATAGGTGTATCAATTATGAATTCAGAATAAATCTCTGCCAAGAAGTTGTGAAGAAACATAATATCAGCTGCAGCTCTAAACATCCAATTTGTCCTTTACTGGTCTAGGTTACTTAGGCTGGTTTTAAAAATACATTTTCCCCATGAAATGTAAGCTTGTATTTAAAAAGTGACATTATTTTTGAGCATAAGTGAACAAAAGTATCATTCTAATATTCAATATGCTTTAGTAGATTTTTCATATAAGATGTCAGTTAAATATCTTCCACATAAGCATGTTTGTACTTCAGTGTTATGATACAGATGAATGAAATATAATGGATCACCTTTTTTATTGTTGCACAGTACTGAGAGAGCATATTCTGGTCCAGACCTTCTATCTGCTTCAGCTTTTCACATACGCTTTCCACCGTCATAGAGCTCAAAGATGCATGTGATCCTCCTGTCACTGATCCTGTGATGGCTCCTGTGCCCTAAGCAAAGTGGAAAAAAATGTGCATATACAAAATGATTAAACAGTCAATATGCCTGGGGTTTAATATTATGCACTGAAGCAAATCAAATCATGGTCAACAACATGCCTTTTTAAAAATGAAGCTGAAACACAAGAATACCACAGCACATTTGATAAATGCCAAATTATCTAAATATAATATTGGGAAATATTAGTTTACATTAAATGAGAAGTGACTCAGGCCTTGTTTATATTAGGGGGGAAAAAAGCACAGATTTAACACATGAATTAAAAACAATCAATTAACATATTAAAATACATGTAACATTGTAAAATTCTCATTCTTCCTGGCTACAGGCCTGTGTCTTAAGCAGGGTGAAGGGAAACAAAGGTCAGTTTGGAAAGACAGAAGTCCAGAATCAAGGTTATATTCCCACATATCAAAAGCACATCAAGTCCCAAATTTATGAGGTACTTCCTTGATGTGATGAAGACTCTCATAGTAGTACTCTTAGCCTCAGGTGGGACAAAGAAGAGTCTGTGCTTGAATACATAAGATTACAACTACAAAACAAAGCAAGCAATCAAACCGTTAAAAACACTACTAATTGATGTTTATTTTCTCCTCTGAAAAATCTACATTTTGATAATTTCTGTATCCCATTAAAGATATTGAAAATAAACAGTCTGCCTAGATTCCTGTGTCACATCCAGCAGCTAGGTATCTGAGCATCTACACCATCATATCTCAAGCTTTAGACGCTTCTAATTATTAACTGATGCAAGGCAACCTGGAGAGTATCACTTACATTACACATTTTAGGAAATACCTATGAAAAGTACTCATTACTTGACAATGCCAATCACTAGGATACATTTTTTTATTTAAAGTAATTCTTACCCCTTGATTCTTCTGTATGCAAGGTTCTTTAGCTCTTCCCATAAACTCTACGATTCCTATCTTTCCATGCTCTTCCATTTCAGGGAATCCCCATAGCTCCCCTAAATCAATCTCCTACCAAAGACCATACTCCTTACCCCGCACCCTGTACAAAGGACATTGTCTGCTTCTGTTTCCCCTACTGGTAAGTGCTCCTCCACATCAGGACTGGAGTTCTGTGTCCTCCCTGTTAACATTATTTCTTGGTCTCCCCTCCTTATAATGGGTTCTAAGGCTCCCATTTTTCCCATGCCAGGGGCTCAATATGCTCTTCCCCTTGCCTTTTCCCGTAAAAAGACCTCTGCTGCACTCCTATATCCCCCACACTCTACTTCCCTTGACAATACATATATATTTTTGGAAAGTAATCGACTCAGATAATCTTCATTTTTAAATATATTGAGATGACAAATAGAGCAAAGATGGCTGTCAACCACCTCTTCCACCTACAGACAACAACAACAAAAGGTGACCAAAGCTGCTGCATCAGCTAACAAGATATAAAGGCCTCCAAATGTCCCTCATTTCCCCTCTTCTGCTGTTCAGATCTTCACTGAAATCAACAGGATTCTGCCCATCAAGGTCTAGTATATTTCCTGGAATTCTGGGACTGATCAGGTGTGACAGTCATTTTACATAAATCGACGAGGAGCAACAGCCTTAAATTGCAGAAATCTGGGGTAGATATTAGGAAGAACTTTCTCACTCTAAGGGCACTTAAGCCCAGAAACAGGTACCAAGAGGCTTCCATTCTTGGAAGTTTTGAAGAGCAGGTTAAACGAGTTTTATTGTTCTCCAGTTTAAGTATTGTGTTTATTTTACTGTAAACTGCCCTAAGCCTTACTGGGAAGGCTGGCATCCAAAGTGAATAAATAAATAATTAAACACTTGGTTGGCATGGTTTAGAATCAAAGAAGTGTAGGGATGGGCTGAACCTTTGGAGGTTATCTAGTTGAACCCCTTGCCTGAGGCAGGATGCTTCCTATCCAAACCATCCCCTGCAAATCCTTGTCTAACCTAGTATTAGAACTATGCCAGCAACCCTGTTATACAAGTTATGGCACCCTAACTTGGCACAGGTAAAGCAGGGGAACAATGATGTTCAAGAATGTTCTACCTCAAACAGAGAGGTGGACTAGATGGCCTTCTGAGTTCCCTTCCACCCCTATTTTTCTATGTATTTCTATGATACAAATACTGAAGTGTCATCAGTGCCTGATCTACACTATACCCCAGTACAACTATGAGGTAAACCTTCCTTATGGAAATAAAAATTATACTGGTAAAAGAGCAGGCAAGGTTCTCTGAGTTCTTGCCAAGAACTTTTTTCCAACTACTCAGTGGGTCTAATAAAAGATGTCACACCTACTCAAAGAATCTGGCCTGCCTAGGTCCTTAGACCAACATGGCTACAACCAAAAACCCAGCAACTGGTAAAAGAGTCCTTTTCCAGTACGTACTTATGCCAAATAACAAGCAGAAAATAAGTATAAGAAGAGAACTAAAAGAAATAATTACTTGGGTCTGTGCTGGTGTTTTGCCACTGGAGCTGGGTTGGTTTGGAGTTTAGTCTTTTTGAGCTCCAAAAGACAAAAATGTTTTGCCAGTACAGCATTTAAATGGAAACTTTGCCGAACTTCAGGGGAAGAGACCCCACCGTGTTTGGCCACAAGATTCAGAATGTGGCCAAACTTGTGGCCAGTTCAAGAAAACAAGAAATTCATGACACACAAACAAATGAACTTATTTATTCTTCTTTCCCATAAAAAAATTCAACATCAAATTTATTTCTGCATACTGAATGGAAAAAGGATTTCAAAATATTGCAACTTGTGCTAAAAAGCTAATAAAACAATGTAAAAATATCAGGTAAATTGGGAAAATATGAAGAATTTTACTGACCAAACACTCTTGCAAGTAGAATTAAAAGTGCAATTTAAGAGTAAATATTATACAGCACAACTTCAGTGATAAAATATAAATAAGGTCATTGAATAATTCTGAATGTTCATATTTTGTATAATCAATGTAATTAAAAGTTAGGGTTATGACTGTACTTTGGCTGGCATGCAGAAATAGATAACTGTAGCTTAACCATATATGTACGTTAAATCCTCTTGGCTATGTTCAATTACTGGATGAAGCATGATCAATGAGTAGAGTCATCAGTTCAATATAATGAGACTACTGAATTACTTTCTTAGTAGCTTACTATAAACAAAAGAACAGCAGACGGCAACCCATATAATTTAGAATTTCAGAGCAGGTCATAGTTCTTACGTAATCCTGAAAGGATTTTTGTCCTTACCTTTCCTATAAAATGATTTTCTGTTTTTGACATTATGACGCAACACACATGGAAAGTTAATCCTGAGGTCTCAGAGACCATTCAAAACCTTTGGATAATCACAGGTAATCTGTTAGTTAAATAGAGGGTTCAGCCCTTTGGAACTTACTCCTAAGCTCCATAGACCTAAAGCTAAATGCCTGCAAAGCTCTCATATTTTGCTGGTGTAGGAACCTTCTTTGGCTTAACTTCTGTAAAACTCAGCTGCACTGGACCAGAATCTATGAACTCTGCCTAGGATGGGGGTGAGAGGGTACAGAGAGAGAGAGAGAGAGAGAGAGAGAGAGAGTAAGAAAGAGAGCGAGCACAAGTGAGGGAGCGTGCACGCGAACATAAAGCAAGTAGGATGAGACAAGTATCTGAAAAACAACATGGGCAGAGCACATCCCTGTATATCTAGTATTTCAGATATCCTGCAGACTGCTATCCTATTAACTTTACATCTACCTGACCTTCCAAGGTCCAATACATGGAATTTAGGTTTTAGCACTGCTGAACTTCTGAACTGCACAAAGCTGAAACTGAACTCCAGTTGGGAAATTACAAAAGAACTACACTCCTCCAAAGCCTGGGGACACAGTGCCATACATATAAGAAAATACA